TCTGCCCAGGACTCAGGACTGGTCTGCTTTGAACCCTGTCCGCACTTAAGCACTACAAACTGGAGTTGATGCAAGGCACACCCCAGAACAGCAACCCGCTGTTATAAAGGAAAGCACTCAGGAAGTTCAGGAGCCGCAGATTTATGGGGTATGCGAAAAAGATGAATTCCTAATACAAGAAATTGTATATGGCTAATAAAGTGATCTCATCTTATTTTATCTATCCCTGCCCTTTTCCCTGCAAACCAACATTAGAAGCTTCACCCGCCAGAGACTTCTCAGTTGCTCCCCTGGCAGAAGTTGTTTTTCCTGAGATTCCCTCTTTTGCTCAGCTTGTTACTTGTGACCCCCCAAGAATTACTGCCAGAGACTACATCTCCCCAAGTGCACCTGTGGGCCAACCCTATCCTGAGAGACTCCTGAAGTCTCTACAGATGATCTTGTGCTTCTTGTCCTGCTCACCCTCATTGTCTTGGCTCCTTTTTTGGTGGTAGTGGGGGCAGTGAGCCCCTCTTTGTGCAGGGCTCCCTAGACTGGCTCTCAGTTACGGTGTTTTGCATAGCCCAGAGTTCGAAGTTGGAGGAAGGTGTACTGTTATACCCGCCCCCACTGCCGAGCAGCGAGGCAAGCTACAAAGAAGTGCTCTGGTAACTTTTTGGCATTTTAATTTTTTAATTTTATTTAACTGTAGCCAGTTACTTCACAGTTTCCATGGATCCAATCACCTGGAGTTGGCTTTTGACTTTTCTCAACTTCAAGTGATTTTCAACATAAGTATTCTGACCTGACACTGCTCGGGGATCTGTCATTAAGTTTCAACTCTGAGCTTCTCAAGTCCAGAGCTTGTTCTTATGTTCCTAAGTGCTGCCTTTCTTGGATTCCTGACTTCTGCTTTGTTTTGTGACTTTGTTCCCGGTTTCCCCCTTGGCTTGAACTCTTGATTAGCTTGGTTTTGGACATTGCTTGCCTTTATGACTTTCCAGTGTCACATATCCAGAGTGCAGTTCCCTGCGCAGCCCAGTACCTGTGATCACGCAGCTCTGTACAGTTCCCAGTGTGCAGCCTGTGGGTTCCCTGACTCAGCTGCCTCTCGCCCAGCACTTGGGTTCTTTTACATGCCAGGATAACACTACTAGTCCCATGACAGTAGTGTTGCATTACAATTCTTAGCTATGTATTAAAGGGATAAATAAAAAACTGAAAATGCCAAAAAATTACCAGAGCACTTCCTCCAAGTGTTGGATTTCAACATATTTTTGTCTATACAAAATTTCAGAAAATATCTTTAGTCTGTTTCAAATTAAAAAACAAGCCTTTAAATACCTGAACTAATTTGCCTTAGATCACTAATAACAGCAATTCTTGAAGCAGCGAAAGAGAGACACAGTAGCAGTGAAGGAATTGGGCAGAAAGATTCTCCATAATAAAAACAATCTTTCTTTATTTACTACTTTTTTATCTCTAAAAAATAACACAATATGTACCAATTTTGAAAAGCCATGAGGAAAATCCTACACTTTGCACCCAAATACGCAACAAAACCACTATGTTGGGTTATTTTTCTTACTAAAGGGCAGCTTGTTCTAGGAAGGAAGCCTGAAAAGTGGAGGATTAGTAAAGGAAAATAGAGAAAAAAATGATAAAGCTAAAACTAAAACACATTTGAAACAAATTTACAAGGCAAAAGAGTGGGATAAAATACCGTTATGAAAGCGAGAAAAGATTATTTCCTTCGGCGTTAAATCAAACAAAAGTAAAATTTGAAACAGATTTTAAATCCCCATGTGAAACCTGCACTCAGTCTTTCCAGCTTTCTTATTCATTCTGTAAGATTTCATCATTTGGCTTCTCTGAGCCAGGGGAGACCCTAGTAAAGAAGCTCTGTCTCTTACTTAAGTCATTAAAGGCTAAATATGTTTTCTTCAATCCAAAGATTTAGCTTATACTGTGGATTCATAATAGAAACAAGAACAGTGACTAAAGTTTCTGTTTTGTCCTCTTCATCCAGACTTAAACCAACCAAAAAATACATTCTGCAGCCCCACATTAATGGGAATTTCAGGTGTGCGTGTGATAGAAGGGATTAATTTTACATTTTAAGCACTCTCACCCTGTTTCTTTTACCTTATTGTTTTTTTCAAAGCTCCTTGTCAGTTAGGCACATGCATGTGGTTTCTGGATGTGTAAGTGATTAATTCAACTAAATGAACCACACGCTCCTTATGAATAGTCTGTTTGGGTGTTCTGGTGAAGAAGTCACGTTAAAATGTCATTAGCCGTGCTAATACAGCGCCATAGAGTGTAGGTGTCATTGTGAAGAGCGGCTCTCCCCGTCCCACACAGACAGCCCCCGCATCCCCTCTCAGGCGAGAACTCTCAATGTTTGAAGTGGCAAGAAAGCAGCAGGCCTCCTTGTGCGTGATCACAAGCCCTGTGACAGATCCAGTAAAAAAGCAAACACAGCTCAGCAGGCCTTTTAAGTATGTGTCAAAGTTAATACTTTAAAATAAAGCTTTACTTTATTTTCGAAAATGAACATGAATATGTAACAAATACATCTGAAGGAAAAAAGAAAATAATGTCATATTTGAATGGAACACTACAGTCTACACAACTTTTCATCCAAAAGACTTTACACATTTCATCCACCACTCAAGTGAGGCAAATTGCTCAGTAAAAGAAAACAAACATTGTTTGAAAAATTTGGCAACTAATAAAATGAGTGTGCAAATAAGGCTTAAACTCATTACTTTCTTATTTGTGGTTTTTGAAATATATATATTTTATATTTTTTTAGTTTAAATGCATCTTTGCCTTGGTCAGCTATGCAAGAGTCCATTTCCAAACAGATCTTTGCAGTTCCAAGAGGAGCACATCACATAAAACAAACAGATATGTAAACAAGTGTTACTAACTAACTGTAAAAGGCAAGTACTGTCAGGCTCTGTTGTTTCAAGTCACTGAGCACTCATGACTTCAAGCTCTCTAAAGATACACCCTATTGTCCTTCTTTTTTCTCTGGAATCTGCAATACCAGTTTTTGAGTGGAACAGCACTCCAATCCAGCATTCAGAACATCCCACAAGGCGTATGATGGCAATTCCGTGGTGACTGAATAATGGGCACCACACGCCTTAAAGCTAACTTCCTCCATTCACAACATATGTAGTATCGGTCAAAGGCCTGCCTTCTGGAGAACAGCACTTCTTAAACTACACAGTACATCTGGCATTGTTACAATGTACCATATTCTGTGAAGCAATAAGTTGCAGCAATTTTCTATCTAGTAGCATAAAACAAAAAAAAAACACTTTCATAGAAAAAAACGGTAGTATGCTGCAGATACTAAGTAACCTCTAGCAGACTTAGCCAATCACCAAAACTTAGCCAAAACTACTTTTTTAACACTGGAAGAAACAACAGGGACCAGTTTCTTTTAGTATTCATTATTCACCAAATAGATTGAGGTTTTGTGAAATAAGCAGCATTTTGTATCTTATATGACTGAATGCAATATTTCTCAGAAAAAAATCAGGACACACTAAGATGTTTTTTTTTAACTTAACTGTGAAGATGTTGTTCTTCAAATAGTGAAGAAAAAACAGAGTGCTGGCTTTATGTACCACAAAAACAAATTTTAAAAAGTGATCTCTGTTTTACAGCTTTTTTCAATAAGACAAATAACATAAAATATTGTGAAATACAAGGAGGATGCAGGAAAGCAAGTCATAAATAATACCATCAAAAACAAACTTTAAATTATAAGGATCATTTACCAAAGTCATTACAAAAACAATATTTGTTTGCAATAATGTCACAAAGTTGCCTGGCTTTCTAGGTTTCCATTTACTGCAGAGATAAAGCGCTGATATCTAACCACACTTGAGTGCTCTGCAGTAATGTATGTCACTTCATTGTGGTGTGTGTGTAGGATCTGGGAGGCATATGAGTGTGTCAGCATGATAAGGTGTGGTTTTTAATGCAAGCATGTATGCTTGCCAGGCAGGGCCTTCTCATCTGGAGCTCCAAAAGGTCACAAAACCATCAAGCGCTGGATCCCAAAACCACTATGATTAATTCACGGCTGGTTTGATGGAGCTGCAACCTAAACAAGCAGTACAAACCACAAGAAAAGGTGCAGTCACTATTGCTGCAAAAGTACACGTGTGGTTCTGTTTCCTGGTGTTTTGTCTGGGAAACCCGAAGACCCAAAAGCGCCACATAGGGGTGGGCAGCATGAGGGGTTTTTACACGTATCTTCCTGAGCAACTTTAAAGGTCACTAGTCAGGGGGGTTTTCACAAGCGATGCTATCAGATAAGCGAAAAAGGTATCGCAAGTCTCATTCAAATCCAAATAACCACAAGCACTTAAATACATTTTTAGAAGGGATTCAATTCTACATTGTTTTCAAGCCGTAGCATCCAGTCCTGGACCTGGAGGGGCAGCATATCTGACAATTTTCCCGGTCCTGTTAATCCAGTATCCAGGTGGTTTAACTAAAAATGAATACCTGCAGACACACCAGTCTTCCAGGTCCAGAATTGGACACCCCTGTTTTAAAGATTTAATATTTTAGCAAAAACCCTGATGCCAAATTGATTATATATTTTTAAACTTCTTACCTAGTGCTGTACTGAATGTTTTTACTTTTTCTCCTTTTAAAATGATAAAAAGCACAAAACTTTTTTTTTCCAATAAGCCAAAGCCAGCAGTAATTTTAAACCTGGATTTAATCTTAAACAATGGTAGAAAGCCAATTCTCAGAAAAGTGGTTGGACACTGGATGCAAAATCATTCCTAAACAAAACACAAAAACAAAACAGGATGAAAGAAAACTTTCTATTGATTCAGGTCTGTAATAAAACTAAATCAGGATGAGATATTCATACACATATCATATCTAAGCCAGTAGATCAAAAGGTTAAAAAGTGGATATTTCAAAGACCAGTCCACAGGCATTAATGATCATTAACTGATTCCTCCCGATCTCTTCCTTACCTATTTTGAAATAATTATCGACCAGCAGATCCTCCAGACCAATGGCTGACCAGAAGCTGTGGTCCCAGCCATTTTCTGAGGAGTAGGTCCATTTACAGATCAATGTACAGAGAGACCTGCAGGAAAACCAGAAAATGTTAAAACATTGGCAGAAACATCGCATATCACAAAGAACTGATTAATGGACTGCATTAATCACAAATGTAGAAAACACTAGTACTGAAAAGTGTAGTACTAATGCTGTAGGGTAACGTAACTGTTCCACATTTTGGTAATTTCTGAGTAACAGATGTTGAATACAAAAATTATTAAGCTCTTAAAGTTTGATCCAGTGCAGTATTTCTTCCACATGTTCCATCTCCCATCATATATTTGCATTGTCAAACATTCACAGCCATTTTTAGGGTCACCTATTCAAAATTCATTTTCATCAGGGTGTTAACAAACATAAAAGAAAATGATACTGCTTTTAAACATTGCAACTTATACTCAAACACTGGAGGAAAAATTACTGTACATGTATACTGGCATGCTTCAGAAAAGAATAAACATATTATACTGTACAATAAAGCTGCTTATGGCTGTGATAAAGTTCATATTTTATAAACAAGTCTCTGACATGAAAGTTTTGGAAGTCACATCAGGTACAGCACATCTCCATTTTGTATATTCAAGTACAACAACTCTGCAAGAATGACAGTTGGTTTGTTAATGGCTGGATGGTTTGTCCTTCACTTATTCAAACAAAAGCCTGGTAGACTGGCAATGACTGAAAAAGAGAAAAAATTCAGGGATTATGATGATGTTTCTATAAACCTGGTTGGAGTCTAGGCCTCAAAATGTAGTCAACATAACATAAACCTGAGCAGTGAGATTATGATCAACAACAGTGAGCATGCTCCTATAGCCTGCATTAACAGCCCATCAACTCATGATGCTATTAGGACAAAAATGCTCTTTTTTGTCTTTTAAGTAGTTCTTTTAAGTAGCTCTCACTAAACACCTTCTGATCTCTCATTTACATGTGCCTTAAGATACACAGAAATGGGATTCCTGAAAAAACACCAACCCTTTGTCAAAATTCAAGAAACTGCCATCCACATTTATTTACAAATTCCAGTTGTGCTAAACATCTTGCAGCTGTAGAATCACTCAAATGTGAGTAAACGCCTAGTGGTATCTGTGCTTTTGATGGAATTTTCAACAGAAGGTGAGATGTTTAAGAGTTGCCATGTTAAAAAATCATTTCACCAGACAACAACTCATTTAGAAATCAAAGATCAGCCCACAGTTGTAAGAAGTGACTGTGGCTTAAGCTGAAGTGAAAGCAATTCTGTAAAGTAGTCTTGTAGAGAGCACCAAATATATTCCACATAGAACGGTTGGTGTCATTTCACCCTATAGTTTAAGATTTAAATTTAAGCTTGCCAACCCCTGGATAGAAGAAGCCACACACTTCCAAATGTAAGTATATTGGCATTACTGTAATAATAACGTTTATCCATCCATCCTTTTTCTAACTGCTTCTTTCAATTCAATTCCTGGGGAGCCGGAGCCTATACTGGCAAGCAACTGGCGCAAAGCAGAATACACCCAGGATGGGACAACAGCCCATCACAGGATTCTCACAGACATCCACCAGAGCCAATTTATGTTATTATATAATATGTGTTATTATTTATGGAACATGTTATGGACTGTTAGAGGAAGTCCAGAACACCCAGAGGAAACCAACACAAACACAGGGAGAACATACAAACTCCACACAGATACAGTAGTACACCAGATCCGGAATTGAACCCTGGGACCCAGCACAGTGAGGTAGCAATGCTAACCACTCTGCTACGGTTGCTGCTGGAAGTGGTGTTAGTGGGACCAATGGGGGGCACCCACCCTGCGGTCCGTGTGGGTCCTACTGCCATAGTATAGTGGCGGGGACACTATACTGAAGTGGGCCCCGTCTTTCAGATGAGACGTTAAACCGGGGTCCTGACTCCCAGTGGTCATTAAAGATCCCCGGGCATTTCTCGATAAGAGTAGGGAGTTATCACGGTCTCCGGGCCTAATTTACCCCTCAGCCTTTACCATGGCCTCCAAATTGTCCCCATGTATGATTGGCTTGCACTTGACCTGCGATGGACTGGCGCCCCGTCCAGGGTGTACCCTGCCTTGCGCTCATTGCTTGCCGGGTAGGCTCCAGCTTCCTGTGACACCGTATGGTATAAAGCGGTTTGGCAAATGACCTGACATTAATAAATTGATATTAATCTCATTACTATTTATTCATTACTATTAATCTCATTTACAAATTTATTCTGGAAAATCTAAAAATTGACTTGTTGATGGTCTTTTCCTGGCAAACATTTTTCCGACATCTGATTTACAGATCAATGCGGAAACTTTGTCGTACAGATGACCTTTATAGGAGTATAGTATTTCTTACCAGTTCATGTGTATTCTTTTTACAAATTTCAGCTAGATAAATGTCCAAAGACTAATTAATTCCCCAAATTTACCCCACCTCTGTGGTCACACTCCTGTTTATAGAACAAAAACTTTCATTGGATTCTTCCCCTTTGAGAACCTTTGCCAACAGTCTACCTTTGCAAACTGACATACAGGAGATTGGGCAAAGACAGTAGGCAAGAAACAAATACTGCCCAAATTCCCATTGCACCGAGTTTCTTCTTTTTCAGGATTTTAAGACTATTTGGCCAATCTACATTACAGAAGGGGTTGCTATTAGTTAAGATTCTCATCTAGCCATTTCCTGAAAAAAGCTAGAATTATCAGCTTTGACAATTAGCAGGTTACACTGTTCCAGACTCTCACAATACTTTCTGTAAATAGTATCTCCTAGTTCAGTGCACTTCCCCATATTTTCCAATTGTGTCCTCTGTTTCGCATTTCACTGTTGATTCTTTCTCAGCATCTTTAAAGACTCTGAATACTTGAACCAGATCCCCCCACAGTCTTCATTGTTCAAGAATTAAAAAGACCTTTACCCTGTAAGTGCCCTACAATCCTTTATGCCCAGTAAAAAAGAGTGGCGGCACATCTCTGGACAGAGCAACAATATTTTTTCTAATGTGTTAAACAACACTGTATATTGTAAATGAGGTCTTACTATTTCAAAATAAAATTCAACATAATATTAATCAATTAAGCTTTTACACATTTAACTAAATGTTCTAATATTCTGTTTGACTTTTTATTGCATCTTCATGTTTTCATTAAATGTGAATGATGTACTGTATAAAAAACAATGTTTTTTAAAAGTAACTTCTTCAAACTCAGTTTTGTTTTTATTTTAATAACTTATGTTTCTTCAGTCTGCACTTGACAAAATTAAATTGTCCACCTAAGGTGACTGCCCAGTTTTTTGTGTTAAAATGATGTTTTTGGAAATATTTTTACATTTTTAAATGTACAGTATCAACAGTATTTGCTAATCCTCCTATTTTTGGTATCATCTGAACCCACTAGATACTGTACTATACTGTACTAGATATAAAGATACTATACTACATCAGAATGTAGGTCACTGATGTACATTATGAAGATTGGTGATCTTAATACAGATCCCTGTGGCACTCCACTTAAAACATCTGAGCATTCACCTTGAACTCTTTACTCTCTGTTCTCTATCCATCAACCAGTACTCTGTATGTAAATACAATAAATGCATCAATTTGAATGTTCAACCCTGAAGTCTGACAAATAGTCTTTTATGAGGAACCATCTAAAGTCATCTGAAAATCTACATTTGCCAAATGATATACTGTTTATATTCATGAGTACTGCTGCTTGAACCTGAACTCTTGACCTAACTTTTCTACACCCATGTTGAGTATACCCAAGATCCCTACTGCTATACAGATGATTACATAGTTTGTGATCTGATTATTGAGTAACTTAATCAGATTATAAAGTTATTTTTTGTATACTTTTTTAACTTAATAAAACCATTTGGGCAACTGCTTCCTAAAAAATCTAAAAAAAACTGCAATAATAATAAAATAAATAATAATAAAACTTTATATAACATTTCAAAATAACCTTGACCTTGCCTTAATTTTTAGAAAAGACTAGCATAATAGAAGCATTTCCTCTGGTCAGTTCTTTGAGAAACTGAGAAAACCAAAATTAGCTATGTCTACAGTTTTATTTTTGGCCACTTCAATCCCGATGATCTTTTTCCAAATTATGGGATTTTTTAGGTTAAGCAATATTAAACAGTGAGGTTAAGCAGTGTTTGTGGCTCAGTATGTGACCCTCTTCCCACTGGACCTGAATTTCCAAAACCCAGTATGTTCTAATATGGTGACTTGATGGTGATGTAGGAGATGCCATCTTTTGGACAGGATATTAAATTGAGGCCTTGACTGTCACACCCCACACTGTCCCTCGCAAACGCATTACATTCCCAAACCCACTGTTTCACAGTCTAATTTCTAATTGAACCCATCACATTCCAACAGGCACTGGATCCCACAAATTCTCTATCCAACCACATCCCTTTCCCTTCAGTATTTAAAGTTCCCTCACATACCAACCCATGCTCAGTATTGAGAAACCTCCTGTAGAATTATTTTGTGTGTTTCTAAGCCTTTTGACTGACCTCCTGGTACCAAATCTTTACTCCTGTCTTTTGACCACGCCTTTTGGATTTTGTTTTTGGATTATCTTTTGGATTTCCCTGGTTACCGGACTCATTAACTCTCTAATTGACCAAACCCCTGGATTATGTCTTTGGATTTCCCTGTGCTACTCCACATTCTGCGGGATTCATGGTTATGCATAAGGATCTTCCTATTCTACCAATCAGTTTTGTGACATTGACTACCTAGACATTAAAGATCCTATGAGACCTTTGGGAAAAGTTAAAATTGAAATGTTACCCCCAGTGAAATATCACTCTGTGTTTGAACAATCTGGCCTATCTAAAATTCCTCCTTAATTCAAGAGGCTGCAGCAAATACTCCACATGATTTGATGTACTATATACTGGGACTGGAGCATAATGGCTGCTATGCATCACCTACATGGTAGATTAAGTTTTTTGTCTTCCTATATGTGAAGCACAGACATCCCTTGGAATTACATGCATTATATT